GAAATACCCAGCACCAAACAAAGTCCAAAATACAGTGGTGCCTGGCAAGACTATTGCCTCGCGGGATGATTAATCCGCAAGATGATTGGTTTTTGCGATCGCTGTTGCGCTTTGCAGGACGATGATTTCTATGGATGATTTTCACAAGACGACGATTTTTCCCCATTGGAATGCATTAAATAGATTTCAATGCATTCCAACGGGGAACTGCGTTTCTGAAGACAATGTTTTCGCAAGACAGCATTTTTCGCGGAAGGAATTAACATCGTCTTGCGAGGCACCGCTGTACACTCACCCTTTTGATTCATGTTGCTCCTCTGTATCACGGCATTTGATGCTAATTGTTTTGAAATGGACCGAAAACATTAGCATAACTCAGCATTTTATCATGTTAATATCGTTCCTCATTTGACATCAGTCTTAGATTTATTTCTGTCTCTTGCCGTTATCTCTGTAAATATTCAGCGCGCTTTTATTTAGCACTAGTTGAGTAGAGTTTCTCAACATCCCATAACTCATGGGATTCACACATGATGGTTGGTCTTCCATAATAGTTCTCAAGCACTTTCCTAAAAAGATTTATGTCTGTCTTTGTGCTCTACCTGTTGGTATGAGCTTTTCAATAAGCAATGAATCCAGGTCTCTCTATCGTCTACGGCAGACTGGTAGTCATATTCCAGTCACTGCTAGGCAGCCAATAATAACAAAAAGAGGGAAACCTGGCTCTGCTGGGTTTTCAGATCTTCAGATAGGAGGCTACAACGTCGTCATCATCATCTTAGAACTGTAGAGCTGGAAGAGACCCTATGGGGCGTTGACTCCAGCCTCTTGTCAAGGAGTCACAGTGGGGAATTGAACTCCCAACCTTTGGCTCCAGCATGGGATACAGAATCTGGCTTAAGAGGTTCTTCCAGTTTTCCAGAACATCTCTTAGGGGTGCGTGAAATGCATCAAAGTAGATCCCACCAGATCTGACAGCAAAATACTGCCTAGTAGCTTCCATGGAAAGAAACTGTAACTTCTGAATTGCCCAGTTAATGCGGCATGTTTTTCACAACGACAGCAAAAACTAAGGCAGAATAAAGCAAAGAAAGTCCAATGGCTGAAATATTCCAGCATTCCTTTCGCTGGTGGCAAACGACGGGTGAGAAGTTTCCCAAGCACACTCCTCAAGTTGGCCCTAAATTAAATTCACTATATATTTACTGACAGTTCATTTTGATCCACTGTGTGTGTTGTGCTGTTGTCTTCTAAATTCCATTGGAATGCTTTTGGTACAAGGAGCTCTAAGGCTGAAAGAACATCCCTAGGCCTTAGCCAATGTGAAATTCTATTATTTTGACATCCATGAGAAATAAAGCAGGAAAGCCAGCAGGCATTGTTGGTGAGTTGAAAAAAAGACACACATGAATTTGATGAATGGCTGCCGATTTCCCCGCTTTATGCTGCTCTGTCTGTAGTTGTAACTTTTAGCAGTAACTCTCCTTGGCATAACTCTCGTATGAAATGACCGGATTCCGAAGTATCTTCCATCCATTTGGAGTGGGGAGAAAAATATTCTTTTTTAATTGTTAACAATGTTAAAGAAAACCGAGACCTTGTGTCTTCAGTTTGTGATGTGTTTCTGACTCAATTTCTTTCCTTTACAAGGAAATGGATATTGAACTAACTTAAAATTAAATATAATACTGCACTTAAGTCTAAATGTTGTCCTTAGAGAATGTCCTATACTGGTCAGGTCATTAATCACAGAGAAACCACCATACTGACTCGCCTGTCCTCTGATCTCTGTTAGCTTTGTCTAGGTTTCTCTTGATTTCCTTCCTGCCGTATATTGCAAGGGGAACGTAACTCCTTGTCCATCTTTCTTAGCATCCATTTCTTCTTCTTTTTAGTCGAAAAGAGCCAGAGGTTATTTTCCAGCTGAGAACATCCATATGGTGCCAGTAGCCTTTGAAAATAGCTCCCTGGGTGCATGTTCTCCATAACGTGACGTAGCTTTGATGCTAGTGCCAGCGTGACTGGAAGTATGGCGTACAGGCTGCCATGAAGCGAACATGCCAGGAGACAGCATTTGAGATGAAACAGCTCTTCCTGCTGTCGGTCGGCTGCACAGGAGTCTGTCACCAAATGTCATTTTGTGATGTTGTTAGCAATGCAAACACAGGGGCGCTATCAATTTTTCCATTAGATCATGGGAATTATGATTTTTCTTCAGTATTGTGCGATGGTGTCCACTGATTCACATTTTTTTTCCCTTTCTGAGTAATAAAGTCATGTCAGACGACAGTTGTATTATTTCGGGTGTACAATTGTCCTAAAAGGCAATCTCTTGCAAGTCATGTTAATTTGGCTGAAACAACAGGTCTATTATAAATGTAGTTAGTATTACAGTGATATGAAAGTAGTGTTGTGTAGGCTTTTATCTGTATCATCATCACTAATAGCAGCATCCCAAGTCATTTGAATCTCTGTTATCACAGTCTTCCTTCCACTTTTAAAACTAAACCATCACTGCAGTTAAAATATGTAGTTAAAAAGTTAATCAAACATGCATATAAACACGACTGAAAATTTGTAACTTAGTGTGTCAGCCATTAAAGGGAGGAAATGTTGAATGCCTCGGTTGTTTCTGCATAAGATATACTCTCAACTGCGTTTTTTTCCCCACTCTTTGCACGAAAGAACACACTCCCGGTGATCCCATCACAACCTCCTGACTTAAGCTCGTTTGCTTTTCTCCCTCTTCCCAAACTCTGAAGCTCTGGAGTGGCAAATGGTAAGGAGCTTGCCACTTTACAGACGGTGGGAATTCCAGCTCAAGTGGTATCTGCCCTCTGGAATGAGATAATGCAGATGGACTCAGGTGCTTCCTTGAGTTCTGCAGTTCCAGAGGCAACATTGGGAGTTGCACTAAAGACTACTTTTCCCCCCCCCAAGTCTTCATCTCCCTTTACTTTCTTGAGAGTGTTCTGCATGGCGATGATTCTTGGCGCTATAATCTGACCAACTGCGTACCTATTTCAGATTTGACAGCTGCTGTACTGTAGTCGAAAGATAGATCGTCTTTGGCTGAGAACAGTTGGGCACGTCGTAACTGATCTTTTAAAGCTTGCTGAATGACCTTGGGTGACTCCCAGAAAATATGAAGGCTCCTGTCGTATCTTAGGAGGCTAATACAGTGTGTAGAGTTTGAGCTTGCTTCACAGATGGAAGGATCACTTATTTGTCATTATACACGCACACACACACTCACAGCTACAGAGGGTGGAAAGGTATAAAAAATCAGAAGGGTATCAAAAATAAGACCTATGCCCTAAAACTATTGGAACTCTTATATCTTACGGCATCCTCACCCCATAAATTACGCATTTTTTGCTTCAAATCCGTGCACTTATTTATACATCAAGCTACCTGCCAGCTAGGAAAAACATAAGTAGGCTGTAGTTCACAATACAGTATGTTTTAAATACTGCAAGCCTATGTGACTTTTCATTGGCTCAGACGAGCACGGCTGTGCTTCTGGAATTTGTCACTACTTTGTAGTGCGTTTTTGAGAATAAAATTGAACGAACTTGTGTGTGCTTTCCCCCGTGCAAGTGAGATGGATAACTTTTTGCAACCGAACCTTTCCCGTATCTCTGAGAACTTTTAATAATTTACATCCCACTGTCAAAGGGGCAGAGTATCTTCCAAAGCAGAGGAGAAAAGTATTTTCAGACACTTTATCTGCAAAATTCAAAACAGGTTTTGTAAAGGAATGGATCAAAAGAGGATGAGGAAAAAAAATGGTCGGCGCACAGCATGTTACCCTTTGTCACATCTAAACCAGGGCATTAATGCATGACAAAGAAATTAAAATAAACCCATAAATTGTATAATGGAGTGTTTTTCTATTTGGCTGAGACAGGATAAGATAGAATGGAGATGCAGTATAATGATAATCGTGACTCATGCTGGATATAAATATGTAAATATTCATGAAGAATGTTAAGAATAAGCTTGTTGCCATGATAGTAATGAAAAGCTTCATTAAAGTGTGAGGTTGAGGAGAAGGAAGCCTGAATCATTTGTTTTGAAGATGTTGCATAGTGAGGAGGAAGGGAAACTTACCTTACAATATTAATTATTTGACTTGGTAGATGTCTTTTATGTTTTCCCTTTCCGCCAAATCTTTACATTTACACATACACACCCAGTTGGCAAAACAGACTTCAGCTTTACCAGTCTGCCTGGAGATTTGGCTGTTTTTTAAATGTCGATTTCCCCCCTTTCTATCAGCTCTTCTTTTTAAAGGCAAAAACATCTGGTTTTCCCTCCATTCCCCCCCGTACTGTCCAGTCAGAAGCACCAGATTGCCTCCATGATGTTCTAAACCTTAGGCCACCGGTCCTGTACAGTAAGAGTCGGCTGTCATAATAATGGGGTGGTGAGAATATTCGGCATGGCTACATAGAGAAGACAAGAAGAGCCAAGGGCTCTCTGTTCATTGCCCCACCAGCCCGTGGGTTTCGGGTTACATCTTAGGCGTGCTGATGTTTCTGCTTCCAACAGGGTTTGCCTCTAGGGCATAGAGAAATGGCTGAACCTGGGAGTCCCTTAAATAGGTTTGGCAAGTTCTCAGGACTCCAAGGTCCCGAGGGTTAAGTTTTGTAAAGAAAAGTTTCCTAATGGATTTACCATTTAAATGATGCTGTGGCCAGTTTGCACAGGTTTGGGGGGAAGAGTCCTATACTGGGCAGACACCCAGGACACAACCAGCTCCTCATTGATAAAGATTTCAGAGGATCCCTTCTGCAAGCGTGAAAAGCCAATCGGATTCTGGCCACTTTGTTGAGAAAACAGCGCGCTACTCACTCCTGCCGTCCAGAAATTCAGACTCTGCTGGCGTGAGTGACATGGAGTAGGTAGGAAGGGTATCAGCTCATGGTGGTCATGGCCAGAACGGTGGAGGGAAATCTGGGCTTTGTCTGTTACTTCTCTCTCTCCTTCTTTTACAGCGAGCAGCAGGCTTTCCTCTTGCAGAACGTGGAGTGCACCAACGCGAGCTGCCAGGGTGCACACCGCATGTTCAGAGTCTACTGGGAGCTCTCGGGCCTAAATCAAATCAGAGGTGCCGTGGTGGCAACCTTCTTCGACATTTACGAAGATGTAAGTACCGCCTTCCTCTGTGCTAATTTTTCCTGCCTCCTTGATCGCCCTCTGCCTATTCCTTTTCCGGTGTTCTTTCCAGACTTGCACTTCTGGAAGATTTTGACCTGATGGTCCTCACTCAGTTTTGCAGATCATGAAAACAAAATGTGCTGATTATTTTTTAAAGAGTCGTTAAAAGTTTGGAAGGATGCACGGAGAACAACCCAACTTCATTCTAGCGTATTTGAATAGATCGGTGTTAGTAAATGTATTTGGATTTTTTTTTTCTAAACAGAATAAAAAGTAGACGATTTCTATATATGATCACTGAGGTGTATTCCGTTGTAACTGCACACTTTAAACAAGCTTGATGCTTTTGCCTGGATTTAGGATCTTCTTCCTACGGTATATGAAAAGTACATGAGCACAGTGCATCTGGCTATTATCAGTGCCAGATTTTTCTGGCCTCAGTTTTATTTCTCACTTTTGAGCCTTTTAACTACCTCTCCTTGTGCATTCACTATCCTCTGCAGTGATACACTTTACTCTTTCGCTCAGCTACTCTTCCTTTTCTCCCCCACCCCAAGGCTGTGTGTTTCTCAGGAATGTCCAAGGGTGAAAAGTACATCTCCAGATATATATATATTTTTGCTGCATTTTCTGCCTTATAAGTCATTCAAAACGTTTTCATGTTTCCTAATACCTGGAGGCGAAGTTTTGACACTTTTAAAGCATTGTTAAATGCAGGGCTGATATCTGCTTAGCACAGCAGTGTTTGCTGTTGCAGTGAAGCCATAAAACTGACATGATTCCCGTTAAACATAATGAAGGATGGAATGGCATTGCCCAGAATACATCAGTTTGTACTTAAAACCGATGCCTGCAGCTGACAAGATCTGAGCAGAAAGTAGGAGAAAAGGAGCATGTACAAGGGAGGAGCTGTCATGTGGACATAAGTCTTCAGTGTTTGTCCTTTTTTTTACCATTAAAATTTTGTCACAGAGATGGAGAAATCTAGATCAGCCACTCTCAATGGAAGCCATATGGCCCACTGCATAGCTCGGGCACATGTGAAAAGGGCACAGACTGAAAAATGAGAATTTTCTGAAAGATGGGAGCCTTTACTTCCTTCCACCACTGGCCACCACAGGTCCAAAACATCAGTGAGTTTTGAGCAGGTTGACGTGTTGGACGTTTAGAACCCTGAAAGGTTATTTCCTATTCTTTTGAGCACATGGCCATTACCTAGCTGGCTCTTCAGAAGTTTCCTTTGGATGGGTGCAGCTCTGATCATTCAGAACCGAAGCGGGCTCTTCTGTATTCATAAGAAGTCACGGAATCCAGAAACCATAGGCTGCTGAATGATTCAGCTCTCTTGCAGGTGTTTAGCCAGAGTAATAAAGCTGGGGCTCTAACCTTAAGGATGTGGTGGAATAAATCCACTTGGCTGAGGGCAGGGAGACACATCCAAAATTAAATTTTTTTCCCCTTCCACCTCCTCAAAACAGTACAAGCAGAAAGGTGTCTCGTTTTGGCTTTGGTGGCATAATGAAATCCTTTGAAATCTGAACTTCCTCTCTCATTTAGAGTTCTTCTTGCGAATAATTCTGTGACCTAAGTTGGTGTTTTTGCAAGAATTTTTTATTTTATTGTTGGATTTTCATTAGCTACTTCAGTGCTGGTCACGTTGCTGGTTAATTTATTTGCCTTGTTTCTTCATGGCTTCTTCAGGGGATCTTAGACATCCTTGTCCTCAGCAAAAATTCTACGAAGGGCAACCTCGCCATCCATGCTTTGAAAAACAACTTTGAAGCAGATGCCTACTTCGTTAAAGTCATTGGTAAGTGGTTTGCTATGAAGACATTAAAATGCTATTAGGGGCGAGAGTCGTACTGCTGCTAGTTGAATGCTAAAACGGAAGAACAGCTGGAAAAAAATAAGATCCTATTACAGTAATGATGTGAGAAAGGAAATGGCATTGGAGTGTATGTGTGGGAGGACTGGGATAAGAAAACCTGATTAATACTTTGGCCATCTCATGAGATGAGAAGACTCCTTGGAAAAGACCCTGATGTTGGGAAAGTGTGAAGACAAGAGGAAAAGGGGATGACAGAGGACGAGATGGTTTGACAGTGTCAACAAAGCGACCAACGTGAATTTGACCCAACTCCGGGAGGCAGTGGAAGACAGGAGGGCCTGGCGTGCTCTCTGGTCCATAGAGTCATGAAGAGTCGGACACGACTTAACGACTAATGACTCTTCGTGACCCCATGGACCAGATCACGCCAGGCCCTCCTGTCTTCCACTGCCTCCCGGAGTTGGGTCAAAGTCATGTCGGTCCCTTAGATGACCCCGTCCAACCATCTCATCCTCTGTCGCCCCCTGCTCCTCTTGCCTTCGCACTTTCCCAACATCAAGGGCTTTTCCAGGGAGTCTTCTCTTCTCATGAAATGGCCAAAGTATTGGAGCCTCAGCTTCAGGATCTGTCCTTCCAGTGAGCACTGGAATTTGGATTCCAGTGGATTTTTTTAACCACTGCTTAATGGAGCTCATTCCTTCTGGCTCTTTGAATTAATTATTTCTCTTAATCACCCTCATCTTGTGTGAAGTACGGTTTGGGTTTTGCAAATGGGCTTGTTTGTGCCCGTTCCATAATTGTTGCGCAACAAAGCTGAGAACTAAATCCAAACAGAACAGGCCCATTGAAACAAAAGGGACTTGTTACCACGCGCTAATGTAAGTCTCATTGATTTCAATGGGTTTTTTCCCCCAGCTCCTCTAAAATGGATCCAGCTTTATGTCATTAAAAAAAAATAGACAGGCCTGCTTTATTTTAATGAACATTTCACTTTTAATCAGGTAGGGGAACATATGCGAGACAAATGAAAGTAAAAAACTGTTTTCAGCAACTTTTTGTCTGATGCCCAGCAGCTGCATTGCTTTTTAATCAGAGTTACAGAGGATTAACTTCAAGAGAATAAACCGCTGGCCGCTTCACAGTGCATAGTGTGGAAGGGCTTGTGTGCAGTGAATTCAGTAGAATAAAACGCACACTCTGGATCACCAAGCACCCTGAAGTGCGCCATTCATCATCCCGGCCTCTGAAGAACAGAGCTGACTTTGTGTGCAGGCTGCCTAAAGGTTAAAACTGATAAGACCCCTTTTTTAAAGCAAATTGGCAGTCCGAACCATCTGCTTAATTGAATTTAACACACAAAAAAAACCCGTAAATGGTTCAGAAATACCCCTTCCGGTGTTTTGCAGGTGAAAACAGAGATCCTTTTTTTGATTTATGCAATCACTATATCAGCGCTTTAAGTGGAGAGGTTAAAACTATATAGGAAAGTTCATAAGAAGGAAGATGGTCCTGCTTGTTACACACAGAGACATCTGGGTAGATTTCAGGATTTAGCATTTGTTGAGTAGCTTTTGTGCATTGAGTGCTTTTTTTTTTTCCACCTTTGACGGCGGTCCTTCTTGTTAGAAAGAACCTTGCCGTGGATTGCTCATGCATTGATGATTCTTCCAATTAGATTACCGCAGCGTGTTGTGCATGGAGCTGCCTTTGAAGACTGTTCAGAAGTCACAGGAAGTCTAGGATGCAGCTGGGATAGTTCACTGAGAGATGTTGCCAGCCTTGAACGAGTTTGTCTAGCCCAGTTTAGCGTGCCTCTGCTTGTGTTTGAACCCCTGTTTGGCATTGGCCACATGTACCTGATGGAAGGTGGATGCAGTTGCTGTGTTAGACCACTTCCTGATGCTAGTCTCTGTGGACTTTGAGAATCCAGCGGCGAGATAGGTGTCAGCCTGAGGGATTCTTCAACAGGGACTCCCCAGTTTTCTTCTCCAAAGAAAATTCCCTGGCACCAGGATTATAGATTCATCCAATTTTAATTGCCTGAAGTTCTACATCCTGCTTTTCATTGGCAGACCTGTGTTTCTTACATTATTTTGTGTGCCATAGTTTTAATTTTATGAATCATCCTGGAATTGAGTTGGATGAAGAGTGATAGCTAAACATTGTATTAAAAGCCTGGTTGGTCCTCCTTCAAGCATAGAAGGATTTTTTAGGGCCCTGAATATTTCCCCATGCAAATGCTAGTCACTTTAATTTTCATCGCTTTTTTCAGGAATGAAAGAAATTCACCGAATCCTCATGGTCCGATGTGAGCAAAACATGTAATTCAGTAGAGTATTTTTTTTAAAAAAAATCAGCTAAATACAGCTTGCTTTTTTTTCTACATACCTACTGGCCAAGAAAAAAGAAAAAGACCTAAATATCATATTTAAGATGCTGTAGAAAGTTGTGAAGTATGAGATGTCAGAATAACGGCGTGCCCGCTTGCTGAGATCCCTCCCTCCCGCGACTCTGTTCCCCTCTAAAGCAGTATTCACAAGTTCTTGAATCCAAAAGTGCAAACCTACCAATTCCTTTAGAAAAAGTGGTGCTCTAGAGGGCAAGCTTCTTTCAGAGATGCCCAGCGTTGTCACGGTGTTACGAACGCATTGGCAGCTTAATCACAGTATGTTGTGTGGCTGAATCAGTTTCAAGCTTTGGTGCAAAAAAAAAAAATGAAGCACTTTCAAGAACAGATGTTCTTCAAGGTGTGAAAGGGGCAGGGAAGGAAAGTTAATGAGACTTTAATTTGTAGCTGCTGACAATGAACCTTTTCTTCGTAGTTTTCCATGGTCAATAAGCAGTTTGCTGAGACGCTAGTTCCTTCTCGTCTTCCACCCCCGCCCACTCCACAAAATCAGTGCTTCTTAGCATCTGTTTTTAAAAGCAAGCAGGTCAATGACACTCTTACGCTGCGGATGAAGCCAAAGGTTGCATCTACTGTGGCCCAAGGAGATAGCAAGAATATATTGATAAGCCTTGCTTCTGCCGCCGTCTGGGAGAAACCTCTGGATATTTGCATAAACCACCACCGCTAATTGCAGCTTGGTTACACAGTCGAGTCTGTGACCCGGCATGTGGCTGAGATATGCCCCGACACCTTTGTCAGTGAGCAGCAGATAACCACAGCAAGTTACACAGACCGTCTTACATGGATACCAACAGGATTCGGGCCGTGATCTTTAAATGAAAACGGTTGTTTCTGCCATTTTCCAGGCAGGAGGCTAAGGCAGAGACATGGCCTGTGGTTGAGACTAGATTTGAACCCAGATCTCCTAAGAGTTTTTGCCAACAGTATTTGCCACTCGCCAGATACAACTTGTTTCCTTGAATGCAGTTTAAGTCATTTCCCACTTTATGCCTTGGGTCAGATTGTTTTTCTGTTTGTAACAGAATTTGGAAATGTGAGTGTTTAAGCCAGCATCTGGCATTGATTTAACAATTCATTGTTTATATTATGCAATGAATTCGTTACATTACTCATTGGTAACATGATAGTAGCATGCTACTTTAAACATTTTTTAAAAACTATTACAATGTTACCCAACCAGTAAATGTCACATATGTAAAATGATTTAAATGATACTTTTCAAAGTCATTCTTAAAAAATTGTTATTGATTATGGGTAGTGAATTACTTCTGGACAAATTAAGTCCATACTCTGGTTTCTATGCATTTATCTATATACCCTTCCACATTCTTGGAAGGATAAAACAGAGACAATAGTTCAACAATATTGTGAAGAACAAAAACCAGAGCGAAGAGCATCAAAGGTGTTATAGGACAGAAGGCTTAAGAACACGAGGTGGGGTATTGGGTTCTGAGCCAAGAAACGTAGATCCGAAGCCCCTGTGGAACATGGAGTGTGCTGATTGATTTGGGGGTCATTCATTCACTCCTTTCAGCTTAAGCTGTCCTCCAGCACTGTTGGAGGCATAAAATTGTCCCCTGCATGTCATGCTAAGCTAGCTGGAGGAAGGCTGGAGTAGACGTTGCGATGAAAAATAATCACTGGAGTATTGATTCTGGAGTCAGAAACTCATCAGTGTGTGTGTGCGCGCGTGCGCACATGTGTGTGTGTGTGTGTGTGTGTCGGAGTCAGAAACTCATCAGTGTGTGTGCGCGCGCGCACGCGTGTGTGTGTTTTTACAGAAACCTGGTTTTGTAACCTCTTTCCATTTCTCTATGGCTATTTTAACTATCTTTGTTACTGATCCAGCCAGTCGAGTGATTGCTTCACTAATGCCTTCACTATGCAGAGCAGAGTGTCATTTGGACTGATCAATACTGGGTTTTTTTTAAAAAAAAATTAATATAAGATAGGTAAATGTACATAATTAGAATTCTTAGGGTAGCTTTATCAAAAAAAAAATTAATATAAGATAGGCAAATGTAATTAGAATTCTTAGGGTAGCTTTATCAACGAACTGCAGTGTGGTTTTCCAGAACTGACTATGAAGCAACCACACTTTTATGACTGAAGGAAGATGCATCTCTGCTGTTAAAAATGCAAATAGCCATTGGTGTTCTTTCTCATTTATCCACAGTTCTCAGCGGGCTTTGTTCCAATGACTGTCCTCGTAAAATAACGGTAAGTCTAGAACGGCCAACGTGTTGCTCATGAGATGGGTTAGAGTCCCATAGTGATCGGTATTATCAAAGGATAAGAGATGGGAGAAAAGCTTTGCCTTGATCACTTGTAAACGAAGCGTCACTGTGGCCACCAAACAGTAGACATTTCTTTCTGTATAAGTGGCTTTTCATTTTTAACCCAGCCGTGTGCCATTTTCTAATCTACATGCACCAGCGCTTTCTCAAAATCTTGAGAAATAAATCTTTGAATGAAAGCACAGGGTGTACAGCTGTGTGTTTCTTTGTCTTTCTGCAAATCTGCATAATTGTCTGGAGATCAAAGTTCACAGTTTTTCCATCACTCAAACAGCAATTTTTTTTGAGATCTTGCCAAGCATTGGAAAAAAACAAAGGGAAGGCATTGATGCTCAACAAAATGTTGGCATTCTTATTCTTATGAATTTGCTGTGTTCAGCCTTTATTTTGTAGGTCTTTCCAGGAGCCTTTTGAACATGTCTTTTCCATATGCATGCTTTATTTTTCTTACTCACTGTATCACCATCTTCTCTCCGGCACCCAGAATTTAAAGTATTAAATTTTTCATGTTTACAAAGAAGTTGAAGGACTGTTGGCATGGGAAACCTGATCTTTTAGACAGAAGCTGTGCAGTGCAATGTCCTTCTCAATCCTACAAAATCTGCTGCTACATCATATTTTTTAAGCATCCATCTATGAAAGGTCAAGTCCTTATCCATGAACCTAAAGTCCTAAGGAAAGTCATGGTCTAGGGAAAAGGAAGAGTGGGGTTTTCCCCCCTTTTTTCATGAAGAAGCCAATTCTGAGGAAGACCTAAACCAAGGAATGAATGTTTAGTTGCTTGATAGCAGATGGAACATGGTGGGTTCACCAGGTAGACAATCCTGATAAGGAGCAGCTAAGGGAGACCCCTGTGGCAGTGGGCATCAGAGGCAAAAATCCAGGACTTGGGAACAGGTTCTGTGCTGGACAAGGTTAGGAAATGAGGCAGGAAAAGCAGGAGGATGTAACCATTAGGAATAACAAAGAGAAGTGGTGGCCCTTAAAAGATATGGGGAAGAACTGTACAAAGGAGACCCAAAGAACAGAAGTAATTCCAGGGGAACTAGCGGCTGCATGGACATCAGAAGAACCACCCTGGATCTTCTGTCCACTACTATGTTCCCAGAGAGACCTGTGAGAATGCCAGAATCGGGACAGGAGTGCAACAGTAACGCGTCCGCCCGCTCAATCTTGTGCTCCCTAGGAAGGGCTGCTGGAGGAAATGTTGTATTTGGAAGAGTAGCTGTGTCAGTAACCATGTCCTTCAAGAACTTGTCTCATCTTCTGTCCAAGCTGCTAACACTGTCTTGTGTTAGCTACTTCCATAGTCTGTCTATCATGTCTTGTCACTCACCATACAATGCAGCATCTCTTCCGCTCCAAAGAGACGCACTAGTAAAAGCCCTTGTAAAATTGCTATGCTTTTGTCTTGTTTCTAAGCTTGCCCGAGCCCTTTTTTCTAGTTGCTATGCTTTTGTCTTTCTAAGCTTGCCCGAGCCCTTTTTTCTAGCCTTTGCTGTTCACATCAAATTGTCAGCTTGCACCCAGTGATGTTTCTGCCTTGCATTAGCAGATGAGATTCTAGTATCTCCACTGGAAACATGTAATATTTTCTGTATCAGTGGCTTAAGAGGGTTCTTTTTCCTCATCAGACCAAGCTGTGAATGCTGTTGCCTTGTTCCAGTTGATCTAAGAGCTTCGTGGTTAGGCTAGTGCTGGGATGCACAATTGTTTTCTGTGTACATTCAGAAGACTACCTTAAAAATAAATTTTAAAGTGCATTTTGAGTTTGGAGGAGGGGGTAGAAACGCTCCTGACTGCTTGAAGCTTGAAAACAAATACTGTAGTCTCCCAGTCTCAGGATGCTGTCAATAAATCTTTATCACATTTCCGACAGTGTGAATGACAAAAGGAGTTTGTTGTTATGTATGTTCTTTTTTAGTTCTTAAATTGTGCACATTTTTAAGCTTTGTAAAGAAAAGGGAGTCAGGAAAAAAAATAATGGAAGGCCTTCTCTTTTCATTCCAGCCCTTTGGTGTGAATCAGCCTGGACCTTATATCATGTACACAACTGTAGATGCCAATGGGTACTTGAAAAATGGTTCAGGTAAGACTTGTTCCTGTTGACTTCTTCAGATATTGAATGTCGAGAAAAGGTGCATTCCAAGCTTGATTTGTGGGAAGGGGTCGAGAGGAAACATTTCTAAAAGAGAGGAACTGCTCATATTAGCAGTGTTTGTGCTTGTTCTTTCGCTTTTTATTTGTTTGTTTGTTTGATTTATATTCCACCTATTTGGTCTTGCGACCACTCTAGGTGGCTGTTTCTAGCATATATATCGCACTCAGTATCTGGAATGGCTTGATCCAGCTTCTACCAATTTAAAGGGTGGGAACGCGAGACGTGGCTTGACCGCAGGCTCAATAGTCTAAAAAGTGGTGGCGAAAAGGCTTGGAAAAAAGAAAATTCAGACACAGGTTCTGGATGTTATGGGTTCTTTGGGCCTAGATGGATGGTGTTTTCCCATTCTACTGGTTAACATCAGCAGCAGTCAGCACAATCAACATGCTTGCAAATTTTAGGGCGTCAATGCCGTAGCTGTGTACAGTGTTGTAGAAAAGCTGGCTGCAGGTATTCACGTAATTAGTGGATTATAATAAGCATCTCGTATACAGGGTGGCCATATTTTAACTGTTCAGAACTGGCAACAGACTGGAGCTCTGCATGAAAACTGTCAGTTTGGGTGGTTTTATAATCATGTCAGCTTTTAATAAATTAAACATTTTTAGCACACAGATGGTAAGCGAAACCTGTCCCCCAGCTAGAAGGACAGAGTTAGAAGCACAAAACCAGCCTGGGGGGGTTGAATCACCAGAGAACTGAGCTCCCCAGGAAGCATGCTTGCCTAGAACTGACATACATAGATTAAGTAGGGCAGGCTACAGAGATCAATAACAGGAGCCTTTTGGTATGCTAGGCGTGTGCTTCGATTCAGTTTGGTCATCCGTTAGCTGCTGTGCATTCAGAGGCACGAGAAGCGCCCTCTGAAAGGGGAAGCGTGTAAGCCCTTTGTTCACGGAGAGGTTTTTAACTCAAGAGACAATGGATGCTTAGACATGTTCATCTCGGTGTATTGGTCTGGTCATCCGAAGGAACCGAGAGAGGGGCTGTCCCCACCCCAACAGCCAAGTGGGCAGGGTGGCTCTTGGCAACCGTTGACTGGACTCTACTTACAGCATCTTCCCAGTGTCGAAGACCCATTCTGTCTTCAGAGACAGAACTTTTGCAGTTGCTGGGAGAGCTACCAGCTTGAATCGCAAGTTGCTGTGGGCGGAGGAGTGATGACTTTAAGCTGCATTTGAGCTCAGCCCAGAATTAAGGCCTTATTATGATGTATAAATATTGATGAATTTGTGAGATTAGTTTTCAAATATTAATGACCTGTTGTTTGCAAGCACTAGTGTAAGCCGTCTCTTGAGCGTCAGGTTTTGGTATCGCTCTTCACCTTTGTAGTCATACAGCTGATGATGATCCTGATTAACATTAGCACCTAAAATGTACTAAGCACTGAGCAATATAGCTTAGGGTGAAGAGTACTCCTCCTTGATGCCTTACAAGAAAGGAGATTTTGTTTGGAAATGAAAATAGACATGAAATTAATTAATTATGGAATCAATTAATTGTTTTTGTTCTTCATCTTAATGTTGAAAGTAATACTTAGCATTTTTATCTGAAATGCTTTATGTGTGCTGTTTCCAGTAATCTTTTCGACAACCCTAAAATGAATGTTAAGAGTGCCTGTTTTACAGACATGAGACTGAGAGCAAACGAACTTCTTTAGGCTAGAACTTGGAAGTAATGAGTTACAAAGAACATGGTTACCAGTAACTGTTTAACTGTTGGAGCAACAAGAGTGTAACAAAGTTGCACTTCAAAAGTAACATAGCACTCAGAATTGAAGTTACTTTTTATTTATGTAGCGAATCATTTTTCAATTACTTGAAAAAAATAACTTTTAGAGTGATTCTAAAGGAATCTTTTCAGGTTTGATGCTGTTCTCTTATCAGTGCAAGTTTTTTCTGTTGAACAAAGTAAGGGAAATGTAACAGGCAGTACAACCAGCAATGCCATAGTTTAGTATAGTAAGTTGCTCTAGAGTAAGGCCTTTTGACTTAATGGAACTTATGAAGGAGTTGAGTGCCAAATCCCCACCGATTCAGTGGGCCTGCTCTAGTGTCACTTACTGCGCTAAACAACAGGATTTTAGCCAATGGATTATTTTTCCAGTATTGGAATGAGAAATGACAAAAGATTAGTTTTCAAGTGTAGTAATGAAAAACACAGTGGAGTGAGGAGCAAGTTGTTTTTAAAACAAATGTTCCACAGTCTGCCTAGGGCCATGTTAGCTTCTCTCTCTCTCTCTCTCTCTCTCTCTCTCTTTGTCTTTCACCCTGACCTACATCATAATACAAGACCTTTAGGTCCCACCTCCAGCACAATAGGGGGAAAGTGCAATATAACTACAAGCAACTAATCAGCTAATGAGCTGAAAGAAGAAGCAAGATTTAAAGCGAGGGCTTCCTGTTCATCATCTGTTCTCTTAGCTGCTACAATCCACTACCTATATGATATTGTCTGTTTCATTTAGTGATGTTTTACATGCATTGTTTTTTTTCCTAATGGAAGTATGGGCCATCTTCGTTGGCATGCCTTTTGAAAGCACAGATTGTCACGGTGACTTGATGTTTTCCTTTTCAATTGAAGCTAGGGCACACTACAAATTCCTATCATTTTCCCACTTCACCTTGGGTGACATCTCTCGTAATAACTGCACCCACATTATTTTGTTCTGTGTGGTTAGTAATTATCACATTCATGCATCTTCCAGCCGCGGCTGATTTATTCTCTTAAGTGAACAGGGATTAGGCAAGCTTTGCATTCTTAACAAAGCTTCTCTAGGTCTGGAGAAGATTGTTTAAGTTTCATATGGAATGGCTTGAAGGAGGTAAATTATTTGCAGAACTGACAGCGCCTGAGCACTTGGGCTCAGGGGGGTGTTCCCGAGAGGGAGGCATTTTCTCATGCAGGCCAAATTAGGAAAGTAAATAATCGGATAACTGCCATGTCAGCCCGGTGGTTGACCAATCAGCCAAACAGCTCTTTCAAAATGGTACTGCATCATGAGCACTAGCAATGCAAACTCTTAGACCCACCAGCCCAAGTCATGCAATCAAATGCAATTTAGAGTCATTTGCAAAATAAAACACAGGGTGCAGAATAAAATTCTCCCCACCTCAAGGCATATGCTACTTAATTCAGATATTGCCTGTATAGAAGAATACAAGGAGAAACCTCTGTCCTTCTTATGTGTCTTTAGAATTCTCTCCTTTGTGCTTGAAAGAGGGTGTGATGGAATAGAACCTAAGGGATGTCCCATTCAGAAAGGGGGGGCATCTCAGGATTTCTCCTGCTGCAGTTTGGGGTGTTTCCGAAGTGTCCCTGAACCAGTGGGCCTGCGGGAGTTATACAGGGGCCGTGCCTTCTGCTCCCCACCCATGCATTCTGCATCATCTCCCTGCTCTGCAGAGTCTTCAGGAGGCACCCTGATGTAGACGGAGGTCATTTCTAGCCGGGGATTCCTGCTGTATTCCACAGTGTTCTGAGTTGAGTTTTGAGCGCTGTGGGGTTCTCCATTCCCAGGACTGGCCAAGCAAAGGAGGTTTTGGGAAGAACGGCCAAGCGGCTTTGTCACATGGGAGCACGAGAACACCCTGAAAGCTATTCCATCCCTTCACAGATACAGTCTTGTCCACCACCCATCCTAGTTATGAGGAATCTTTGCGTCTTGTATCTTCCACTGCCTACTTCTCCCCTGCTCCCCCGGCACGCCAGTAATGCAGAAGAGAATTCTCTTAAGACCTTTCCTCTTTTGTTAGGAAGTCCTGGGGGTAACTTTTCAAAAAGACATGACTAATCACCATTATGTCCTGCTTCATATTAACCCCACGGCACAGTCTGACATCCACGGAAAAGCTCAAGAGGATATCTGAGTCCTTAGTTCCTGGGTCGTTTTTCTTCTCCATTCATTGCTCTTTATGTCAGATGATGCAGACGATGAGATGGGATGACCAGCCACCTCACTGTGCAGCTTTTGTATTTTGCTGGCTATTTTTAACATCCGTTGGCAAGCTGGCCTTTCACCTGCCGCTGAGCCAGCATCTTTGTGGCCCTCCCGGGCTTACGCCGTTTAGTAATGCCATGATTATTTAGTGCTGCTCTGGGTCCTTGAACTTAACGGTCTACAGTAACAGTGTGAGCTGCTTACAAATTGTTTGTAGTGCTTTTACCAATAAGGCTGATGAGAAACACTTTCCACAGCAGAGGCAGGAGAGAGTCAAACTGGTGCAAGAAGATACAGCAAAAAAAAGATAATCCTACTTAGAAGAACATATTTCAGGGCCAGGAGAACATTTTCCGACCAACACAAAACCTTGTTATTGTGCCAACAACTCCGGCGTGCTGAATTTCAATCTGAACCTCTCTGGCCTTTCTTGAACTAATGAGGCATCCGTTGCATTAGCAGGCTGCAAGCATGAGGAATATGAGGCAACCAAAAGCCAAAGAACTGAAGCTGAATGAGAGAAGACTTGGGGAGTTATAAACACATGACATCTTCACCGTCCATATAGTTCAAACTGTGGGATTTACTGCCACAGGATGTAGGGAGGATTGCCTACCTGGATGGCTTTTTAGAAGAGGATTGGATCAATGCATTGAGAAGGCTGCAGAAGGGTAATATTAATGGGTCTGCAAAGCCATCACTTTAAAAAAAAGAGGCAGTGTTTCCTCCTTTCAAGACAGGTTGTGTTTGTAGGAGGGGAACATTGTTAATAAGAGCCATGTTAGAATAATGAAAAGCAATGTTGCTGCTCGCACTTCCTAAAGAAAATCACCTTTAAAATACACGAGCAGCAGAAAGGGCGCTTCAGCCGAGCTGGCAACATCTTGGCTTGAAGGTCCCACATTGCCAGTCTTCCCCCCAAGTGATATTGTGTGAACAGCAACCGCATCTCATCCCTTCCGGCTCCTAAGCAGCCTCCCTTGCCCTC